TCTATCTATCTATCTATCTATCTATCTATCTATCTATCTATCTATCTATCTATCTATCTATCTATCTATCTATCTATCTATCTATCTATCTATCTATCTGAGAGAGCTCTACATGCACAAAAAAGGAGAGATAAAACTTGAGATCAAACAGAAACAACTTTGCTAGATTAGGGCAGATGACTATGTTTATGTGGTACATGTGTATGTGTTTGTATGTTATGGAGAACATTGGAAATCTGTCCCTTTTCTCTAACACCGTGCAACACTAAACAGCACATTGGCTGTACAATAAAAGGTGACCCGGGATCTTCAAAGGGCAGGATCAAAGAAGTGGGGGCTATGGGGTGGATGACTGCGCTGGACTGAGGGGCCCCTGTGGACACTGACACCATCTGCAGTGCCTGTCAGATCACATAATCTGAATAGAAGCATAAAACAGGCTGCAAATATTTCATTATCAGGTCAAAATACTTAGCACAAAAGGAATTCAGCCATGTGTCCTTCCCTACAGAAAGTGAGTGTGAGGGAGACAGTGTGTGTTTGTGTGTCTGTGCAAAATTTTCTCCAGTATAACTGTGTTTCTGTTAGCCCCCAGCCACTTATTTGAGAATTTCTGCGCTTTATTTTCAGGACCATGAACCAGGTTGCAGGGGGAGAAAGACAACTGGCCTCTTTTCGCTTTCCACCACTGGAAGTGCTCTGATGGGTAAGAAAACGTTCATGGACAGAAGGAACCCTTTCACCTGTGGAAAACAAGTTCTGGACCCAACCCAATTTCTATAGGCTCTTAAATATTGTTCACTACATACAACCACTGTACATACGTTCTGAAAACAGAACCCTCTCAAAATTCATCATAATATTTGTGTGCAGAGACACAGGGAGGACCATTTCTCAGAGAACATTTCCAGGGAAGGTGAAATTCTCCAGCAGTGCCTTAAAGGTGAAAGTTCCCATTAGCAGTAATTGTAGTGCAAATCTGCTCTTTTTAGCCCGAGGGTTTGGACTGGATTTTTGTACTCCTCTAGCAAATAGCGACAAAGAGAACTGTGTGAGAGGTTAGGAAAACATTGCCCTCTCTCTTTTGGCATTCAAAAGCACTGTGCAAAGGTGAGGGTGGGCGATACCTTTGTTAGACCACTAACGATTTATAAACAGAAGCTAGCTTTTGGTCCATACAGAAGTAAGCTAAGCACAAGAATCCTGAAGCTTATCTGTAAGAATTATTCAGAAATTCCTCCATGTTTGAAATATATTTCCAAAAGGATTTTATTTTCTATCAATTTAAAAGAGAACGGCTGGGCAAGTTTTCAGCACAACACTATTATGTAATGTATGCTACATTTTACTTCTCTCCAGGAAGTCCTACGTTACAGATCCACGGTCATATGGAAGTGCTTCTGGGCTCTCTCACCAGTAATGCCAGCAAAGCATAGGCGCTGGGAGATTCTACCAAGCTGGTAAAGCTTCAAGTATGACTCCTAATGGCAGATATCATGCATGCAATCTGTCAGCCTAGCTAAGCACATGAGAACTGCCACTAGGTCATGAATAGGCCATAGCTACAGGAAGCAACAGTTAGAACTGGATATGGAACAACTGATTGGTTCAAAATTGGGAAAGGAGTACGACAAGGCTGTATATTGTCCCCCTGCTTATTCAACTTATATGCAGAATATATCATGCGAAAGGCAGGACTGGAGGAATCCCAAGCCGGAATCAAGATTGCCGGAAGAAATATCAACAACCTCAGATATGCAGATGATACCACTCTGATGGCAGAAAGTGAGGAGGAATTGAGGAACCTTGTAATGAGGGTGAAAGAGGAGAGTGCAAAAAACGGACTGAAGCTCAACATAAAAAAAAAACTAAGATCATGGCCACTGGTCCCATTACCTCCTGGGAAATAGAAGGGGAAGATATGGAGGCAGTGACAGATTTTACTTTCTTGGGCTCCATGATCACTGCAGATGGCGACAGGAGCCATGAAATCAAAAGACACCTGTTTCTTGGGAGGAAAGCGATGACAAACCTTGACAGCATCTTAAAAAGCAGAGACATCATCTTGCCAACAAAAGGCTGAATAGTCAAAGCTATGGTTTTCCCTGTAGTGATGTATGGAAGTGAGAGCTGGACCATAAAGGCTGACCACCGAAGAATTGATGCTTTTGAATTGTGGTGCTGGAGGAGGCTCTTGAGAGTCCCCTGGACTGCGAAGAGAACAAACCTATCCATTCTAAAGGAAATCAAGCCTGAGTGCTCCCTGGAAGGACAGATCCTGAAGCTGAGGCTCCAATACTTTGGCCATCTCATGAGAAGAGAAGACTCCTTGGAAAAGACCCTGATGTTGGGAAAGTGTGAGGGCAAGAGGAGAAGGGGACGACAGAGAATGAGATGGTTGGACACTGTCATCGAAGCAACCAAAATGAATTTGACACAACTCCAGGAGGCAGTGGAAGACAGGAGGGCCTGGCGTGCTCTGGTCCATGGGGTCATGAAGAGTCAGACACGACTAAACGAACAAACGAACGACGAACTATGAACAAAGCAACAGAGTGGGGATACATGCAGTTGATAATGGTGGAGGGACTACCCACACCAATGAATTCACAGATTTTTTGAAGTAATCAAGGGGTGCACATGTAAGAACACACTGTATGGACACACACATGTACAGTATATCACTTTTTTTTATTACTCCTAAGGATGGGGAAACAAGAAAGCACTAACAGGTTACTTAATCCAGTTTTATCTTTTGCCTTGCCGTATTCAACATTCAAACAAGTTGAAATTTTGGAGCCACATTGTTCTACATTAAAAGGGAACACTTTAATTTTAATTTTTTTTGTAAGAAGTGGCCAATTTAAAAAAAAAATCCAATTTTTAAAATTTAAATTGTGATGTCATTCAATTTAATTTAACTCAAATCCAGCCTGCTTCTAACAGAAAGCTTGTGCCAAGTCGCACCACCAGTCCCTCAAATGCCTCGCAGCTACAGGCGAGCGATCTTGTCTTTTGTTCTTGCCACTCACCATAGGTGCGCCATCACTGTGTTACAGCTCTTTTTCTGTCTTGGCAAAGGAAGCCAAAGTTACAGCAGCTGAGGTTTTGTTTTGTTTTGTTTTTTGACATGCTAGCTGCTGTGGGCTATGAAATAAAAACCACGTGACAGTAAAATTTAAACATATACATGCACGTGGATGCTCATCGGCATTGTTTCTGAAGCTCCCGGGCAAACAGCGTTTAGAAACAACTGGCCAAAACAACTTAGAAAAATGAAGGGTGGGGGGAAGTGTGTGTTTGTGTGGGAGAAAAGTATATGCTTTCACTGGGCTCTTGGAAAATACACGAGTCTTGAAATCATACTTCACTTGTAAGTGTTTGCACCTCAGCAAGTCTCCCATTATACCAATTCTTATCATGCGTTCTTATCCACTAAATAAACTGGTCTGAACCGGCTGCCCTTGCCAATTTTACATTCTGTCAACTCAGATCTAGCCTTGAAACCAGAAAAACAGGAGGCAGTCAACAGCACAGCCTCCTTCAAGTTTTTCCACTCAGCATGAAAACCGGTGAGGGCAGGGAGATGGGAGATGTTTTTAATTTGCTGTCTTTTGCATTACCTGCTCTCATTTTTCTGTGGCTTCAAGGGCACAAATCTCTCTTTTCCCTCAACAGGCAACTAAAGACTTCCCCATTAAAATCCCTCATGAAGTCCAAGTCTGTTCTAGTTTTCCCACTTTGCCTGTTGCCTAGATTAAGACTGAGTGACAAGCAGAGGTTGCTGGCACATGGATCAAAGCTTGCCATCTTTCTCCTGGTCAGAGTCTGACTAAACCAGAACCATGAGATTCTCTATCAGAGCATCTTGTTTTTAAGAGTGAGTTTCACAAGCCCAGGTGGGGTCTTCTTGGCAGTCTCTGAAAAAAACCTTCAGTCAGAGAAGAGATCAAACTGAAGTGGGGTTTATCGCAACAGGTTTTAAACTGAACAAAAGTTACAGTCAGACCCACCTGAATGTTTGCTGCCTTTAGGACTAAGCAATCAAACCACAAAATACTAATAATAATACTAATCATCATCATCATCATCATCATCACCATCATCATCATCATCATCATCATCATCATGGTGGCAATTAGTCCAGACCCTGAGGTGCGAAAACTGCTGAGAAAATACAGAGCAGACTTCTAGACAACCCTTTCAGCTATACCAGGGGCCAAACGTCAGTCCTTCTAAGACTTGCCCTGACATTCAAGTTTACCAGTCCCCTTGATCCAGCTTGGAAACTGATTAAGGACATGCTGACTGACAGACAGAACATAGTTTTTTTCTCTGGGCTAATGCACAACAACAAATGGCAGACACGAGAGGCTGGGATGTGAGAATAACTAAAACACACAACCTGCATATTCAACAGGACCAGCGGTGGACAAGGTAAGAGGAATACATGGGATCCCGGCTCAAGTTGCTGCTAAGCTCTGAAGCGCAAGGGAAATACAGTATCAGTTTCACCAAATCATAGCAAGAATAAAAAGTGCGGCTGAGGGACGAACCACACATTCAATGGCATGAAGAATTTCAGGGAAATCCTGTGAAAATAACAACTTAACACATGACAACAGAAGCCTGGCTTCCTCTGACTTCGGTACAGAGAAAATGAAGGCAAGGGTCCTGTTCTGGCTTGCTAGCTAGACAATTGATGATTAAATGAGAAGTTAAGGAGAATTCATATTGCCGCATTTTAATTCTGAGTCTTCACATTTGTTAAATTTGCTGGGGACGTATTCTGGAATGAGAGAAAGCCAGCGAGCTCAGCAGCCAGCATAAGATTCACCCATCAGGCCAGTACTGAGTGAAATGGGGGTGGGAAACATTAAGAACCTAAGAAGAGTCCTGCTGGATCAGGCCAAAGGCCCCTCTAGTCCAGCCTCCTGTATCTCACAGTGGCCCCCTCACCAGATGCCTCTGGGAGCACACAAGACAACGAGATATCTGTCTCCTGACCCCCACCCCCGCTGCATCTGGCATTTTGGTGCTCAGGAACAAATTCACTCAAGCCAGCTAGCAGTTCACATACTGGGCACGTCAACAACACTTCATTTTCACTGCATACAGAAAGTGAATACCTTTTGGTCCAGGCTTGCTGCTTTACAACAACAACAACAAACCCTGTGAGCAAAATGCAATGCCACAGGGGTTGTGTAACAGCAAATACCAGCACTGACGATACCAGAGAAACTTGTTTCCTGGTGATTAGAATTCATTATCTAAACAGTACATGGGAATATTTGAGCAATGCTGCATTTTTTAAAGAAACAGTATTTCAAAAGCTAATGGATTATGATGATGAGCTGCATTAAGATTTAAAAAAATAGAAAGCAACATTCAAAAACAGAATGATAACATTTTCAAGGTTTGTGATAATGCAGGGAACAGGAGCAGTGAAATTCAGTGTACTTAATATTAAAATGTCAGCAATGTTTTTTTTAGATCTCCAGCTTTTTTGTGGAAAAGGAAAAATAATGAGTTGGTGTAACTTTTACTGCAAACCTATTTAAACCTATCTCAAGATGCAATGCATTACAGGAAGTAACCATAATCTCTGAAATTTCAGTGCCATCAAAATATATAAGGTCATAATATTCTGTGCCAAAGAGTACCACTCTGGCATGGACATCAAAAGACAATCTTAGAAAGAGTCGGGGTGAATTAAAATCAATGATTTTTTTAAATAAAAATGAATTTTTAAAATTTAAATCAAATTTATTTTAATGAAATGCTTTTGGAAGAAAAATCTATCTAAAGATTATTTTCTATTTAGGAAACATTATAGGTCAAAGGTTATCCAGCATGAAATAGAACTTAGTTATGTAGTATGAAGCTGTATATTCATGCAATATTTACATTTTTGGTAAACTAATTCAATTAATTCAAGTTATTCAAGCTCAGACAACATGCATTTGTTCACAGTAAAAATGGTACAAAATGAACAAAGTTCAGAAAAATAACAATGCTATTGTAGTTCAGCAAATCTATGTGTATCAGCACACTGATGTTTAAGCAAATACAAGAATACGTATGCTATATGTTATTGTTTCAGTTAAATAAAACAATTTAAGTACTTCAAATATGAGTGATTAACTTATTCAACTAAAATCTGTTCTGATACAAATGTTTTACTTATTTGACAGGTTATTGTTCTAAATATGAAATCTACATCTGCTTGCAAACATTAAAGATTACAACTACCAGCAAGAATGAGTCTTTACATTTAAAAAAAATCATGATTTAACCCGAATCTTGCTGATCAGTGATTGAAATCATGGTTTAAATTGACTTGATTTAAATCATATCCACCCTAGAGAGAGTTGCATGGGAACTCCAGAATCAAGCTAGTTCAGTAACATGCTTAGGAAAACAATGAGAAACGTCTTCCAGTGTGAGCCTAGAACAGCGTTCCCCAACCTTTTTCAGACCGTGGACCAGTTGAGGGGTACGGACTCCATGCGTGGACCAGTTGGGGGGGCAGGGGCACCCCGCTCTCCCGGGTGGGCGTGTCACGCTCGCAGTTTGGCGTGTTGAGTTTGTGCGCATGAGTGACACGCCCCTCACACTCGTGCGTGACACTCTTGCCTCTTGGGCGAGGGAGGGAGACAGGCTCGCAAGGGAGAGTGAGCAAGCTGTCAGGGTTGTGCGGAGCCCTCCTCGCCTTTCCCCATCGCCCTGCGCTCCTGGCCGGTTGCAACAAGGAGGTCGCTAGTGGCTCATTGCCCAGCACTGCTTGGGGCTACTGCCGCCGCTGGTGCCGCTCCTCCTCCTCCTGCTGCAGCAGCTTGCCTTTTCCTCCTCCCCCTCCGCCTCCAGTGGGCAGGCATTTACCTTCCTTTGCTGCAGAGAAAGCCCTTTTGCTCACCCAGTGATTGAAAAGGAACCACCAAAGCGGGGAGTGGTGGGGGCAGAGGGCTGGGAAGCCCCAACAAGCTGGATTTAAAGAGACAGCTAAGCACAATCTTCCACCTTCTGTCTTCTCCACATTCCTCAGGTTCAGCAACCCAAGCGTGGAGAAGGGGTAGCCGAGAGTCTAGCCACAACCCTCCGCTGGAGCAGGCAGGTAGCAGGTTTCAAGCAAGCACGACCTTGACTCCCCGTGCACACTCCCCCTCCCTCCATCCAGCAGGTCAGCAGAACTCACCCCGCAATCAAGCCACCGCTCAGACCACGCGAGAGGCCCTGCGACTGGAGACAGAGCCTGGGAAATTCAAATCCCCCCCCCCGGGCTCTTGCCTCCTACGGCCGTGTCTTTCCATGCTGCTGGCTTTCCAGCCGGCTCCGGGAGGCCGTGCCGCAGTTTGCGCAGGTGCACGCACATGCAGGCGCAAACAACCTTTGCAGGGATGAGTGCGTGCGGGGGGTAGGTCTGTCTTGGCGGCCCGGTTGGGCTTAAGTCACAGACCGGCAATGGGCCGCAGACCGGGGGTTGATGACCTCTGGCCTAGAGCTTTCATTTGAGGCTGAAGGATAAGGACACCTTCTTTGTTATCACATAAGGTCCCAGTGATTGTGGATTCATAGTACCCTAACTTTCTCCTTGCCTATGAACAGGACTACGTAACTGTGATGTTTCTGGGACCCTTTTATGGCTAGCAGCTGCAAAAGAGGCTGGAATAAAGCATCAGAGTCTCTCTTTATTACCTGCTCCGTCACATAATGTGACTGCCCCTGTATTGGCAGAGGAGGATGGGAGTGGGTGTCCTGCCACATAGTACCTCACTGTGACAGGTGGTGAAGACTGTAGGATGCAACCAACATTGGCCACTTCTTGCAAAAAAAAAAAAGGTGTAAAGCCAAATCTGCTGCCTCACAAACATTTCCCACTTGGGAAACTAGAAGGGCAGTCCTTGAACTTACTCTGATTCCACTGAGCTTGTGTACCATTGAGCACAGCAAAACTTAAAACCGACTTAGGGCTGCCCTGTAGGCCTGTCTGTGTGGCCCAACAAGAACAGACTTCTGTACAGTCAGCACCCTGTACAGGAAAATGATGCACACACCACATACATTTAGGTTTAAGGACCATGTAATTTTAAGGTTAAAAACAGTCATTTTAAATGATAGGGCTTTATTATAAGGCTTTCTATTTCCCCACCCATCCCCAACAGACTGTATACAGATGTCAAACCATTAATTGAGGTTGCCAGCCTGATCCATAGCTTTGTTGTTGTCTGAGCTGCCACTTCATAAGAACACCCCACGATCCAAACCCTAATTGGAGGTGCAGACTTGGATCTTCTGGGTGGGCTGCCACTTTCAAAACTTCAAATACTCGAATCAACAGGCCAGCAAGCACTCTCAGAAACAGAGGAGCTGTATCAGTGTCTCGTTAAAAGAGGGCAAAGCCCAACTATGGTCTTCCTACCTTTCTTAGTTTTGATGAAAGCCAGCTGGATGGCATTAAGAGCATGTGGAATCTCTCCGTCTGTGCTCTGAATCTGTGGGAGAAGCAAAATCAAAGCATTTTAACATTAAGCCTAATAGACAGTATGGCTCACTGGTTAATTTATGTGCAGGCCCTGCAAAACGGGTTATTTAGTTGGTTACCAATTCCAATGCAATGAAATTTTGTAAGCAATTTCTTGTGGTTTTCCGTTTGTACCTTCCTTCCAGGTTTCTGGAACCAACAAGTAAATACTGTAATTAAGATGGTACACTGAGGACACTATAAAGGTGAAAAGTCTGTAATGCCCTATCAATATGTCAGGATACTGGGGGTTTGGTGGTGTGTTGTTGTTTTTTTGTTGCTTTAAAAGAATGTTGCTTGGTGATTCTCCACACACAAACACAATAAAAACAATTTTTAAAATTTTTGCTACTCTCCTGCAAGATCCTTTTTATACCTTTAAACAAAATTAAACAATATATAAATCTACATGGGGGAGGAGTATAACACCCCCTGCAAAATTAAAAGACCCTTCCTCAATGGCTGATCAGTTGACAAAAGTTTTTCCGAACAAAAACAAAAAGAAAGCAACACACACAAGTCTGTACTACCAAGCAACTGTAGGTAAATAATTTTTTAAAAATTCTTCCAACTACAAATTCTCAGAGTGAGTTATTGAGACTTTAAGTGCCAGTGAATGAAAATGAGGTAGACTCTGGAGAACTTGTAGTTATTCTCCTCGGTGGATTTCTGTACAGTACTTCTACTGCACAGAAAAAGGGAATTTTACCAGAAATTCAAAACTCTGCAGCAGTAAGACCAACTAGTTAACTGGTATGTCATCTCAAGATTCATGTTGAAACAATAAAAAGCCAGCTAAAGAGTAAAAAGGAAAAAAAAAAGGCAGCTTCTGGAAAGCACTCCATAGATCACACTTACATTGTGATTTTATTCACTAGCCTACTGGCGAAATAACAAGTGGGCCCTTAAATTGAGTTGGGGGCCAAACCTTAACAACAGCCACACACAACCTTAAAACAGAAAACCAACAGCATTTTACACCCACCTGCCCACCCAAATGCTATTAGCAGCATGATCCTTCCACTGCAGAAACCCATCTGTAACATGATCCAGTTTAAAGTTCTGTTCCAGGGACTTCTTATATATTTCTCCCTCTCTCAGCTTCATTGCTGTAGGTTTTGTTTTTAAATAAAAGAGCAACAGTGAACGCAGAAAAGTATTACGTGAAACTCTAAAGCTAGCCCCACTGCCTTAGGATTTTTTGATGGCATATTGTTCCATCTGTGTGGTGTTATGTGTTTTTACCATATAATATACTGAACATGGAGTGTTCATGTGTGGCAGGCTTATCACTCAGCGGCTGAAATCCTGTTGCTTAGCGTACTAAGTTACAACTATATCAGGCCTATTGAATCACTGGAGATTTGCTGAGTCAACTCTTCTATAAGTTCCATTGTTTCGAATGGCCCAACTCCAGTTGCGAACCAGTTTGGCACAGTAAGCCGGAACTAGGGTAGGCCTATTTGAGTCAATGGAACGTCTGGAGGAGTTGACTCACCAAATCCCCACTGGTACAACAGGCCGAATCTAGTTACAACTTATTAAGGTGAAGCAACAGGATTTGGGGCAACAGCTATAGGACACCACCAAAAATGTAAGAAGCTTTCATATCACTTGACATTCTTTCAAGCACAATGCATTTCAACCAGGAGCCTATTACACAGTTCATGGTTTGCATGACTCACTCTGTGAGACTCTGCAGCAACATGGACTGGCCTGCTTATGGGGGTGGGGGAGGCTGTAATACAAAATAGCTCTTTTGTCTGCACAGCAAGAAAATGAATTTAAATTAATTGCTAAATAAGCAGTTCTTGTGCAACTTTCTCCCCAAAGTCAAGCTACACAGGAAAGCTTTTGTGTTTGAACTGGGAAGAGTTTCACATTTCCTTGTTCTGCTCAAGAAGAGCCCTTATTTGATAGACGCACCCCAGACTATTAGATTTTTTCTGGAAAACAACAACACACAAAACCTAAATGTACAAACCAGAACAAATGAAAAGTCTAGTTTAAGATAGAGCAAATTATTTATTTTCAGGCATCTTAGTCTGTTTCAGCAAGAAAATAAACAAACAAAACCTCCCAACAAATTCTGTGACACCCTGAAGGCTTACACGTAATTTATGGCATGGATATTGTGTCGACAAAAGGTTATGCCATGGTCCATTGCGAACGTCCTCCAGCAACAAGTGACCGGAATGAATGAAATGACTGTAAAGCCATCCCCCCACGAACTTTAGCAACTTTCCAGAAAAATACCACAGCCAAAGGTATCAGAAGCTGCCTAGAGGTCTGGGGAAATTAATAGTTATTCTATGCCGCCACTATCAAGATCTAAAGATGAACAAGATTATTATTTATGATAATAGGTATTCCAACTAAAATACCTGCTTATTCTGCTTTTAGATTTTTCAACCTGCTACTATAAAGATCCAGATGAGGGATGTGAATTATATTTGCTAATTCCGTGCTCTTGTTGATTTACACGGTCTCTTGTCCATAATTTGGATAAAAATTTTGCAGTTCTCATATGATGACATAAGAAGCATGGCTTTACATGCATAGTCAAGCTCTAGGAGCTGTCTTTAAACTAACCAACCGATCTATGGCGCAAGTAGAGCCACTGAGGGCATCAGAGTGATTTTTTAACATCGCATGTGTAATCAAAAGAAACATCAGTGAAAATGTGATGAACTCCTATCATTTGCAGACAGGATAGTATGTAGACTGTTTTTTATAGCAAAAAACGTTAAGCGAGGCACCACTGTATGTACCGTCTCTAGACTGGTTTTTATAGCAAAGGTAGTTATATGATTGCTGGACAACACCGATGATTTAACTGGACCAAATCTAACAGTGTACTTTTGCTGGACTTTACAACATCCAGCAAAAATGGCAACCCCCTCTCCTTCTTGCACTCCCATGTGCACCCCAAAAAAATGGCTCCAGAGAACTGAGAAAACTGCAGAAGCAACTGGTTTGTTATCATAGAAGGCGGCAAGTGGGACAGGGAGGGAAAGAAAACCCCAAATCTGCTGACACAGGATACTGAAGCACACTATTGGGTGTTGGCCCAACTCTGCAGCCTTTCTCACCAATTGCATATCATTCTCTTCCATCTCCTCCTACTTCCCCAAATTATCTTGTTTTTTGAGGGCAGAGGGGAGGGGTCTTGCCCTCCTTTTTTCCTTTTGCTTTTAACATGGCATTTTCTTTCTGGCAGATTTAATACCTCAATACTGTAGTTTAGAATTCTAGTAATGTTTACATGGTTTTGCTTAAATTTTCTTTTTAAGAGCTATTTGTGTCTGTTTTAACTTGCTAACTTGTACAGAGCTTTTAGTACTGTATAAAATAGCAGAAATGTAATTAAAAGAAACTCTAAAGAATAAACAAAGTAAAACCTATTGTATTGCTTTCTAGGTGTCTGGCTCTACAACTTTGGTATTTACCATTACAAACATTTAGAAGCATCTCTTGGTTGTTAAAAACCACTCTGAAATTTAATGGCACAGAAAGCTATACATAGCTGCTACTTAATTACAGAGAAGATTATACTCACATTGTAAGCAAGCTATGAAGACAAAACTTACCATGGTTCTGTTTCATCTCCAGGTAGTAATTAAATAAGAAAACTGAAACACTGGGCATCTTTAATTATGTGGAGAGCAGAAGCCAACAAATTTCAGAGTCTGATTTTATCACTTTTCATCTGAACAAGTTTAATGACAATGACTCCTAATGTGGCAAAGGGCTTTTCATTTTTTCCTGAAGTGAAGACATCCTCACCAATCTCAGGCCCAAATTTGAAACAGTAGTTTCAAAAGATTGCTCACTGACGGTTACATTGACGATGACTGATGAACATTGGTGTTTTTTTTTTTTCAAAATGTGACAAGCATTTCTAAAAACTCCATTACATTTTATGGGAAATTATCATTCTTATATATAACTATGACGCCTTAGATAAAGCAGAGCCTTTGACTCAGCTGCTGAATGGTGAGAACACAATGTATTCTCAAAGGCTTTCACGGCTGAGATCCAATGGCTGTCTTAGGTTTTTCGGGCTGTCTGGCCATGTTCTTGAGGTTTTTCTTCCTAACGTTTCGCCAGTCTCTGAAGATGCCGGCCACAGAGACTGGCAAAAACGTTAGGAAGAAAAACCTCAAGAACACGGCCAAACAGCCCGAAAAACCTACAACAACCAGTTGATGAGACAGGCCTATCCCACTGATCTGTTCTATTTGGGGCTGCCAAATGCCTTCTGGCCGAAGGTGGCTTCTGCTGGCGCAGCCGGACCCTCTTGGCTGCTGTAGGAAGAAGAAAAGAGGGCTGTAAGGTGGAGCCTTCTTTCAGGTCCATTCTGGCACAGAAGGCAGTGTCCATGTTGTATTTGGCCTGCGAGCCAAAGAAGTCATCCGCTATATGTGGAAAGGGAAAATGGTGACAATCTTCCACTGCAACAAGGAACCTGGGTTTATCATGGCTTCTTCTGATTTCATAGAGCCCCATAACTGCAACCACTCAAACTCAGCTGCAGCTCCTTTTCAGCCCCTGCCCATGAACACAGAGGGGTCAGGAAGGCACAGGAGTGAGGTGACAGGGAAGACCCCTGACTCCTTCTAAAGATCAGCAACAGCGTAAGAGGACTTTCCTTGGTGTCAACAACAAATGGCAAATTCAGAGCCTACGTGCACGGTTTGTCCCCAATATAGGCATTTGTAAGGCATCATGTTGAACGTGTGTGAGGAGTGGTACAGTCATTTTTATGCACATTCAAAAATAATGTGTGAAAAATGATTCACCTTTTCACATATGCTAGTAAAAAAAATTGAGAGGAAGAACAAGGATGAAGGCCAAAGAATGACTTATGGAGAGGAGAGGGAGAGGCAAAAACTTTGTCAAAACAAATGGCTTTCTTTCCTTTCAGCTTCATAATGTATAATAAAGGACTGGTATTAAGTGCTGGATATT